TATTTATATAGATTACTAAGTGTCCCCTGCCACACGTTGCTGTGGCTCAGTCAGTGTATATGTGTTTTGTGTGTATATATGTGTGCATATGTGTATTTGTGTATATGTGTATATATGTGTGTTTGTGTTTATATGTGGTTTTGCGCGTTGTTGTAATTTTTTTTTGTTTTTTTACTTTCAAAGTCTCTTCTGCTGTGTTTTTCAGTGTTTTTATGCATGATGGTCACTCATTGGCCTAATAGGTGTATTGTGTCCAAATTTGGTGTCATTTCGTCCAGTGGTTTTTGAGTTATGTTACTCCCACAAACGAACATTACATTTTTATTTATATAGATTATCACATGCATTGTTTCATGGAGTTGAGATACAGAGAGAGCCACTGTGTAGTGTACTCAGGATGAAATTTCAATGTGGAAAAGATCCTCTAACAGCACTTTAAGAATGGATTGGGCCAAAGTCAATCATATGCAACAGGGTGGGGGATTTGTGGCAGTATTCCTTGGTTGCTTCCAATGCCTTCCCCTTAAAAATTATTCTGTTTATTTGTTTCTGCTTTTCTTACCCAAATGCTGGAAAATTGTCCAAAAATGCAACCGTTTTGCTTTCTCACTGCATGTAAACTCAAACCTCTAACATCTATTTTGGACTTTAAAATGGTAATTATATCATTTCCGCTTCTGTTCACCACAACACATTGATGCAACCTACAGGGATAGGAATAAAAAAATTGTCCTCTCATGTTCCCTTACACTTGTCCACATTAATACAAAAATATACACGTTAGGGCAAATTCTCTCCTAACTTTTTGAAAAAAAAGATAAATCTGTTGTTGCTGCTGCTTCTTCTGATTTATCATTTCTTATCTGTCTCTCCCCAAAGTTCAGGGAAGGGTAAAATAGAGTTATAATTCCGTTTTCCAATAGTGTTTTATTAGGGGTAAAAAGGGGACAAGAAAGGATATTTTCCATATACATATAAAGTGGGAGAACAATAATGCAAAAGTAAATTAGGGAAAAAAGCGAAGAGAGTTAATAATCATAAAGGATAATAAAGAGAAACTGGTGACTTTTATCTAGTCCTTTGCGGCTATAAACTTCTCTGTTCTATAGTGTTCTGAATAATGGGTGAGAAACTTTTCTTTAGAGTGAGATGAATCGACTCTTCTTATTCCTCCGTTAAAAACATTGTCTTTTAATACTTCTTTTATTTTCTCATCTTTTCGCATTCCTCTACCTTGGACCAATCTGTTTGTCTTATCGGACTTCACAAATTCTTCTTTAATAAAAGGTCATTTTTTCCATGTCTTTAATCTCGCTTACTTTGTATATCCATTCATCTATATCCAGTGTTTCCTTTTGCTTCCAGTATTTTGCATAACTAATCCTAGCAGCCGTGGCCTGATAAGAAAATAGAATATCATTATTTAAATTTAATGATAGGTCTGAGTCTGTTATTCCTAATAGGTAATAGTCTGTTTTTTAGGGATTTTTTCCTTTAAAATGTGTTGACATTCCACATGTATCGCCTCCCTTTTTTTTTTTTTTTTGCTTTGTTACAAGTCCATCACATGTGAAAAAATTTACTCTCTTGATCACTGCATTTCCAGCATTTCTTTTGCGTATTTTTATACATTAGACTTAATTTCCTCGGTGTGATGTACCAGCAATGGAACATCTTTAGCCAATTTTCCTTCAGGTCTATGCCATTAGTATATTTTAGTTTTTTATTCCAAATTAGTTCCCAATCCGATAGTGGTATTGTTCTTCTCAAGTTTTCTGCCCATTTAATCATGCAGGCTTTCACTGTTTCCCCTTATGTTGACCACTCTAATAATTTATTATACATTTTTTCACTTTCTAAAATATTATCCCATAATTCCTCTCTCTGATTAAACCCAGTTGTTTTATCTTTATTATAGTACTCTTTAATTTGTAAATAATGGAGCCAGGAAGTGTTGGCAAAGTTTTGTTTAACTTCCTCGTGTGTTTTCAGAGTGAATGAGCCCTTTGTCAATAGATCTTTATAGGCTGGCCATCTAGACCAACCTAATAGCCTTCTTTGGTTGGCCTCCATGGTGGATTGCCATAGCGGGGTTTTAGAATTAGAAGTAGTTTTTTATATTTCTGCCAAATCTATATAAATAAAATGTAATGTTTGTTTGTGGGATTAACATAACTCCAAAACCACTGGATGAATTGACACCAAATTTGGACACAATATATCTATCAGGCCAACAAGTGACCATCACTCATGAAAACATTGAAAAATACAACAGAAGGGACCTAATGGGCCAAAAAAGCAAAAAGAGGCTATAGCACATGTGCAAAAATAACTCACCCTGGCAAACAATACATACAATAGAATATCCACACTCTCTTCTGGACTACAGCTCCCAGCATCCCCTACACCAGGCCCTTTAGGAGAGGAGGATGATCCAAATGCACTGCTTCCAAGCTGCAAGCTTTCTTCTCGTTTTTTTTTTATATATTATTATTTTTGAGACCATCCCAATTCCTACATATTTCCAATTTCCTATTACTGGACTGCAACTCCCAGCAATCCTCCAGATAGATGGATTAGATAGAGATAGATAGGTAGATAAATAGATAGATTGATTGATCGGGAGGTCTGCTGGGAGTTGCAGTGCAAGAATAGGTAGAGAAGGAAGAAAGGGGAGAAAGAGGAAGGGAAAGAAAAGGAGGTGGTGAAGGAAGGGAAGAGGAAGAGAAGGAGAGAATAAAAGAAAAAAGGGAAGGAAGGAAGGAAAGAGGGAGGGAAGGAAGGAGAGAAAGAAAGGAGGAGAGAAAGAGGAAGGGAATGTTGGCCACAGCAACGCGTGGCGGGTACAGCTAGTTCTTAATAATGAAGATCTTACAAAGTGATTTCAGAATTTCTTCTCTCTTTTTTCTCTCTCTCATACCAAACATACGAGTGCCAGCCTACCCGGACGTCGTGGCCTTCTAGAGATAGCAGGGTACAATAGAGTTATAATAATATAGTTAAAAACAAAAAAATCAAATAAGTAGATTGAAATAAATATTTAAATCATATCTATAAAATGTCATCAGAACAACTTACAAGACCAAGGATGATGGTCCTCCAAGTGTAGTGTCCTGGCAGTGGGTCTGTAGGTGGCTGTGGAGCTCTATTCTTGATCTTCATATTCTTCCACAGTGAGTGCATCGGTTTCCAGGTGGAAGGTGGTCAGGGTTGGCTTGACGCGCCTTCCTCTTGGCACATTTCTCCCTTTTGCCCTCCATTCGCGCCTCTTCAAATTCTGCAGCACTATTGGTCATAGCTGACCTCCAGTTAGATTAAATCATTCTTATCTAGAAAATGTCAATCAGGAGAACTTAAAAATAGACTTGAACCAATAGCTCTATCGTGGTTGCAACAAATGCCAAATTAAACAGAACAGACATCAACCCTATTTCAAATGTATTGGAAAAACAACATATATGAAACAAAATGGTGAGCTTCAAAACTATATCAAATAATATCAGAGGCAAAATTTGGGGAATTTAAACAAATGGGACTCATTTGGGAATTAGAGATGTGTATGCAAACAATGGGGGGGGGGGACAATAGGGACTCTTTTTGGAAAATGTTGCTTTTTAAAATCTATATCTGTATCAGAGAGATGCATAAAATTATTCATAAATCAAATTCTTATCCACTCAAATCCCACGACATTAACAATGACTGTAATAGTTTTCTTTCAAAAAAATCAAAGAGAGAAAAAAAGAATGGAAGACATTGTTGCGAAATATATCAGAATTAGGAATAAAGTCCTTTGAGGATAGGAACAAATGTTGCAGTTGGTGCCAGGAATCACCAGAAAAGAGTCCACAGTAAAATTGTTTTGTCATGTTTTAAAACATTCAAAAACTCCAGCAATAAATAAATACTGTAACCTCCCCCAACGCATTTGCTACATCTAGAGGAGCTCTCAAACATTGCTAAAGGTGATTAGTTCTAATTTTCGGCCAGTGGACCCCAAAGTTACTACTACATATAAACCAACATTTTATTTTCTCTTTTTCCAAAATGAAAATAGTTGGCTGGCATCCTTTTGGGGGTAAGGCATTTTTTTTCCTCTGCATCCCCCTGGGCCATATCAATGCACCCAATATGATAAATGACATCACCAGTTTCATTACCTGGCAATTATAATGATCTATTTTGAGTAGGGGATGGGTCAGAAAATGACACATGCTCCCTCCAAAATAGAGGGTCAGGTGCTCCAAGGGACTTCAGAGGCCACAATTTGGCGGATAGTCGCTTTGGGCTATTCAAGGATGGCCAGGATGCCAAGAAAGAAGGAACAATTAATGCTCCTGGTTTTGTTGTTGTGGCTGTTGATAATGCTTTCAAAGTGTAATGGCTCTCCATGTAGTTATGCTGACCACATGACTTAGGAGGTGTCTATGGACAACGCTGGCTCTTCGGCTTAGAAATGGAGATGAGCATCACCACCCCAGAATCAGACATGACTAAACTTAACGTCAAGGGGAAATCTTTACCTTTACTAAGTCCAGCAATTTCAACCTTCACAACAGAATTTGGGAAGGTTACTTTTTTGGGACTGCAGCTCCCAGGACCCCTGAATCAGTAGCTGGGCAATTCTGGGAGCCATGATCCAAAAGTAACGTTTCCAGATTTTGCTTTATGGACAGTTCTTATCTACCTGACTAGGGTAAACATACACATTGGTAATGAGTATGCAAGTATCCAGGCAAATGTCTCCATGGTCAATGTATGTTTATATCAGAGCAGCACAATGCTCAATTCACAAATGTTGCTGTATTTTTTTGAACTCACATAGTCAACAAGACAGTTAGTGAAAAGTAATTAAAATATTAAGACAAAGTTTTTTTTATTCATTGGTGTGTATATGTGTTTATCCAACAAAAGCATGACTGCTTCACAACTCCTTAGAACTACCCATATCTTCTTGCCAAATACTCACAAAGTCATTCTTTATTTTTATTTCTCTACAGACCCGGAAAGCCAACCGCTTGGGAGACTTCACAGCTGCGCAGAAGTATTCCAGTCTGGCACGCAACTTGGCCCACACAGCCCTTGGAGTGGGGCTCTTTTTCATTGCTTTGAGTATTATCATAGTGATGTCAGTTTTACACTTTGCTTTTGGTGTCTCAGCAGCTGAGCCCTGAGATTCATCGCCTGAAGAGACCTCCTAACTAATCCACAAAATAAAGAAGTAATGTACTAATGCCTTCCTGTCTGAACCTCCTCATAAAGGGATGTGGTGGGGACTATTGCACATCAGTATTATATGTTTTCTTGTCCAGATACACTGAACTTGTGAGCTGTAGAGTGCTTCATCTAAAGCAGTGGTTCTCAACCTGTGGGTCCCCAGGTGTTTTGGCCTACAAGTCCCAGAAATCCAAGCCAGTTTACCAGCTGTCAAGATTTCTGGGTGTTTAAGGCCAAAACATCTGGGAACTCACAGGTTGAGAACCACCATTCTAAAGCTATATCTGGGGATTTGAAACTTTGACCTAGTGATAGATTTGAAGTTTAGATCAATTGCCAGACATTGTGTATGAAGCATTTCAGTGATAAGCCAACATCTCATCACAATAGAACTGGAAGTGGTAAATTGGAAAAGACTACCTATGACGGTTTAATGAAAAGTAATGCCTCCACCTTCGTAACTCCTCAACAGATGGCAGTACTGGTATGCAGCAGGTACTGGCTTGTTCAGTAGACTCTCCTCTACAGTTCCATTTTGGCAGGAAGTCTTAGCATTGAACAGTTGTGTTGTTAAAGTGAAGTATGGAACCCTGCGCAGACAGTCAGTCAATGCGACTTAAGCAACGTGCAGTCATTGAATTCTTGACAGCAGAAGGTGTCACCCCAAAGGAGATTCATCAGAGAATGCAAGCTGTTTATGGTGATTGTGTTGATGTGAGTACTGTGCATCATTGGGCGATTAAGTTTAAAGATGTTGAGGAGGGAACATCTGACTTGCATGACAAAAAAAGAGTTGGACGTCCTGTGACAGCAACCACTGGGTTTCACAAGCAAAAGGTTGACAGATTGATTCAGGATTATCATCGTATCCCTCAGAGAGAAATTTCAAGCATAATCGGCATTTCACAAGAATGTGTGGGTCACATTATTGCTTTTCTTGGCTATTGGAAGATCTGTGCACGATGGGTACCCAGGATGCTGATGCCTGAAATGAAAGCACACAGACTTCAAACTTCAGACTGGATCTCACCACTGTATGACATCCTGCATACAGTCTAGATTTAGCACCGTCTGACTTCCATCCGTTCCCGATAATTAAAGAAGATCTGCAGAGTCATCATTATGCTTCTGATGAAGACGTTGAGAGAACTGTGAGATGCTGGTTGAGGAAACAGAGTGTTGACTTCTTTCATGACGGCTTCAGAAAACCTGTTCATCATTAGCAGAAATCTATCCAATTGTCTGGTGTTTATGTGGGAAAGTGAATAGTGGTAGTTAAAGAGCACGTTCTAAGAATTATTTCTGTGTTTGATTTATTAAAATATCCCCATCTAAACCCAAGTAATGAAGATGGAGGCATTACTTTTCATTCAACCCCCGTTCAGTAGAGTCTCGCTTATCCAACCTTCGCTCATCCAACATTCTGTACTATCCAGCACAGTCTGCCTCCTGCCCAGATCCATAGCTGTTTCAATACAGTTTCAAGCTGTTGGTGCTATCTTCATAAATACAGTAATTACTACAGAACATAATGTATTTTCCTTTTGACTGCTTTTTCTGTCAATTTGTTGTAAAACATGATGTTTTGGTGCTTAATTTGTAAAATCATAATGTAATTTGATGTGTAATAGGCTTTTTCTTAATCTGTCCTTATTATCCAACATTTTCTCTTATCCAACGTTCTGCTGGCCCATTTATGTTGGATAAGTGAGACCGTACTGTAAGCAGGAAGATAAATCCAGCTGCAAGGAAAGGCACTGCACAGGGAGCAAGTCCAGGGAAAGATACTGAAGGGACAACTGAGGTGAGAGAGCATGGATCCCAGTAGCTACCTGGAATCACCAGGAGAGCAAAGGAAGAAGGAAAGGGCCAAACCTGGCAGGACTGCAAATGTGAGAAGACTGCAGAGCTGCACAATGAGCCAACCAAAGTATAGAAGATGTGCCTGCTGACTATCAGAATCCACCCTCTTACTCTGAAAACCACCCTAACAATGAGTCCGATATGCCCAAACCTCCTGCTATCCATGAGCTAAGTGATACCTCTCTGCAAGCCATCAAAGTACCATCAAAGTACCATGATAACCTACTTGGATTTCACCAACAGGAAAGCCTTGCATCTCCCCAGGCCACTGTCACCACATCATTGACGACAGTGAGGAACTGGACTCTATGGGATACTCCTTTGTTGTTTATTCGTTCAGTCACTTCTGACTCTTCGTGACCTCCTGGATCAGCTCATGTCAGAGCTCCCTGTTGGCCGTCACCACCCCCAGTTCCTTCAGAGTCAAGCCAGTCACTTCAAGGATACCATCGTGCCCTTGGTTGGTCCCTCTTCCTTCTGGGCTACTCCTTTACTGCTGCATATTTTTGTTGCTTCCTCTTGGGTAGCATCGCCTTCCTTTTCTCTAAAATGGTAAGCCTGTGAGAGCCTTGCTGGGTGGGTAGATGGTTGAATGGATAGGAAAGAAAACAATGAAATGGGGCAATATGGTGCAGTGAAGGAAGACGAGAGTACTCATTTACTTTTTTCGGTAGCCTCATAGTGACTCATGGTAGGAAATTATAAGGGAATTGGATTTTTAAATTTCATCAAGGAGCCTTCTTTCCATCATTTATGCAGGAAATTGTAAAGGGAGGGAAGTTCTTGATTTCATTAAGATGCTCTTTCTCCATTAATTAAAGCATCAAATCCAACCCCTGCTCAATGCAGGATCTCTGGCTAAACTGTCTTTTTGAAGATATCCAGAGATGGAGGCACTGCCACCACCCCTCTGGGCAATTGGGTCTAGTGCCAACCTGTTCTTACTGTCAAGCAGTTCTTTCAAATGTTCAATTGAAATCGACTCTTCTGTAATGTCAAAACATTACACTTGATCCTATCTTCTAGGAGCCACTGGTGGCGCAGTGGGTTAAACCACTGAGCTGCTGAACTTGCTAACCAAAAGGTTGCAGGTTCGAATCCGGGGAGTAGTGTGAGCTCCCGCTGTTAGCCCCAGCTTCTGCCAACCTAGCAGTTCGAAAACATGCAAATATTATACTGTTATCTATTTAAAATACAGATGAATGGAATGAAAATGAAAAGAATGTGGTAATGTTGTTAACGGCTATAAGGCTACTAATAGCAAAAAAAAAAAAATGGAAAGGAGAGGTGGAAATTAAGATAGAAGAATGGTATAAGAAAATTTGGAAATTAGCAATAAATGATAAATTAAGATGTAATCTAGAGGTTAAAAAAAGACCTAAGAATGTATAATGGTTTTGAAAGTATTTGGAAAAAAATGTTGAAGAAACATTAAAGAAAGAAGATGGGAACCAATCCCCACCAGAAGAAATTAGGTTCTGATGGGATCATAAAGAAAAAAAAGGACCCCAGAGATGGGGAGCACAGCAGGTAGCAAAATGGGGTGAAAGGAAAAGAAATCTATATAAATATAAATGTAATGTTCGTTTGTGGGTTTAACATAACTCAAAAACCACTAGACGAATTGACACCAAATTTGGACACAATACACCTATCAGGCCAACAAGTGATGATCACACTGGAAGGAATTTAAAAAGCCAAAAAACAAAAAATACATTACAACGCATGTGCAAAACCACATACACACACAAATACATATATACACACATATACACATATATATACACACAGAACACATATACACAGGCTGGGTCACAGCAACGTGTGGCAGAGGACGGCTAGCAACTATATAAATTGTAAAACAAAATGGTAACTAAATGAATAGAAATGTTATTTAAAATTTACTATTAAAAAAAAAGAAAACATGCAAATGTGAGTAGATCAATAGATACCACTCCGGCAGGAAGGTAATGGAGCTCCATGCAGTCATGCTGGCCACATGATCTAGGAGGTGTCTACGGACAACGCCGGCTCTTCAGCTAAGAAATGGAGAAGAGCACCAACTCCCTGAGTCGGACACAAATGGACTTCATGTCAGGGGAAAACTTTTACCTTTACTACCTATCCTCTAGGGTAGCAGAAAAAACACATTGCATCCTTCTCTCTGTGAAAGCCCTTGGGGTGCTTTAAGAATGCATCATGTCACCCCTCAGTCTTCTCTTCACCAAGCTGAACAAGGGATCAGTAAAGGCAAAAGAACAACCTAGTCCATAGTACCTGTTGCCGAGAAGTATTGGAAGTAAAGCTTTCAAAAGATTGTGCTGTTTATTCTAAAATAGGAATACTTTAGCTACATGTTCCAGGTACAGCAAAAACAAGCAGAGTATTGAGCCATCGTAAAGCAGACAGATTTATTGTGGCACCTAGACGAGGACTGGTTTATATCTGAGCTTTTCCAAATCCTGAAATATCCAAGTGCTCTCTGGAATGCTACCCCCACCCCAGGTTTTGATTATGCAATGTTAGCTTGCTGGTGGTCCCACTGGTGAACATAACCTATGCTCATGTATATACCTGGTTCATTTACTCATCAAATAACATGGAACACCCATCCCCAAATCTGCTCTCAGTCCTTGAGGATACTTCCATAGCAATAAGGTAACCAAACAGTGCATACTCTAGCTATAATGTAGCAACCAGGAGAAGAAGAAAGGTGGGACTCCTGGAGATCCACCAATTCACTGGAATGTAAGAGAGTTCTCCTCTCAATGCTGCAGAATTGCAGCCAGGCTCTCCTATATCCTCCCATGAGTAGACAGTAAATGATCACAGAAAAATATATAAAATATATAAATATTGGGTTGTTGTAGGTTTTTTCGGGCTATATGGCCATGTGACTCACTACCTCTGAGGATGCTTGCCATAGATGCAGGCGAAACGTCAGGAGAGAATGCCTCTAGAACATGGCCATATAGCCTGAAAAAACCTACAACAACCAAGTAATTCCAGCCATGAAAGCCTTCAACAATATATAAATACTTCTTAAATACTAATTAAAGAAACAGGAAAAAAAGAAAAGATGAACATTAAGAGAATTATGGGAGGAGGAAGTAGGCATAAAGATAACTGAAAAAGAATGGGAAGAGATATAGA